TTGGCTTGACAGTTATTACAGTCATTTGAACAGGGAGGGTTTGTTAGTGAGGTTACAGGGGATTTTTATGTTTGCTCATAAAGGTAGTAAGATGATCAGCAGGTAAAGGCATCTTCGCAAGTAAATGGCTATAAATCATGATTCAAAACACATGGGGGGGTTAGAGTTTTATAGAGCACTCCACATTTATAAGAAAAAAATCCCTCTTGATGATGGAATGATTACATAGATGAAAAAATTACTTTAAAATTTTGCTAAATTAACTACCCTTAAAAAAGGTGGTTATTCAACTCTAAACAACTATATTGCTTTATTAATGGGCCTATATCGTGCAACATACAATGCTTGAAAAACTCATATACTGTTGTGCAAATGATGGAAATAATTTGCAATTAGCTACACTTCTCAGTATCTGTGCTTTTTGGTCACTTTTCATTGTTGGTGGTGCTTTCACACTCGTGGCAGCAAAAGAGTGGCTCAGGGAGTGCATCTCATCCAGGATGCCACATTAATGTGAGCTTTGGCTAAAGGGTTTGCTGTGTCTGTCAGTGTGGGCAAACAGGGTCACACTGCTGCTGCAGAGAAGGTGTTGCAAGGAACCAAAATCCTAGAAATTTGTTTGTACACCCAGATTAACCATGGTGCAGTGCATGTGTGGTTAGTGATGCCAAGCAGCACAACAGAATGATTCTAGAAGGAGATTTGTCCAGACACCCAAGTAACCCCTGGTTAAAGCGCCTGAGTTTCACAAGCCAAGCAGAAAATGTCAGGTGCCAAACAGAAAACAGTTTAGATATATTTCAGAATAAAATCAACCCACCAATTTATACTAAGTTGAACTGCAAAACTAGGAAAGAGAGAGGCTGTTCTATGGGAAAGATAAATAATCATTGTTTAGAAAAGATTTATGGTGGACTTCGGATATGTAATGAAACAGTTTATTAAAGTATATAAGCATATAAGTAAGCAGTTTAAAGGAGAATGCCAGTTTGCCAGTTTGGTGACATTTATTTTTATCCTCTTATGCTTTGCAAAGCAGAAGGAATTTAACCTCAAAATATAAAACTGATTTACATAGAATAAATATCTTTTTAAAAGGATAATACGCATGTTTAACAGGGCAAGAAGAGATTATGAGCATTTAGCAAAGCCTTAGTTTACCATATTATCACAAGGACACTTGAAACGTGAGTCTGAATATTCTAATTTAATTCTGAGCACACAGTCTTTGTAATTTTAACCATCTCAAGTCCTAACCCTTATTCCAGTGGCTCTTGACCACATGACTCCACCTGAAAAGAATGGCGCACACCCATTTATTTGGATATTGCTACAATTATAATGGGCAGATTAGGCAGATGATAAGAGACCCGACAAGAAAGCAAATCTCCTCTGACATCTGCAATGCTGAAACTGGAGGAAGCTACATGTAGGGAATTGTTATAAACAAGTATTTCTTTTTTGTTGCTGTTGGAGATTAATTCTGTAGCTACACAAAAATAGTCTGTAAATGTGCAAGTGCAAGTGAGGAAATCTTAAGCTTCCTGTATCATATATTTTTTTTTTCTCACCAGTACGATAAGTAAATTAAATGAGTAAAATGGTGCTTTCACACAGTGCTGGTGCTGTGGTTAGGGAGCAATATAAATAAAGATGACACTGTCAAGAAAATTGGCTTTCAGCATGGAGACTCAAGGCTACAGTACATGTTATAGCCAAGCAATTATTGTAAAGGTTGACTACAAAACATACTGTAGCTCTCAATCATTCATGGTAAACCTGTCAGTGCTAATGGAAATCCAGAATATCACCCCAATACCTTCAACACACTTTCACAAAATAAAGCCCAGTAATATGTAGTGATGATAAATATATAATGTATGTTTGTCTATAATGTACAGATACATTTTCAGTTACTTCATACCAAAAATCTGTAAAAATCAGAAAACATTTGGAGCCAAAAAAATCAGAGGATGAAATAAAGGATTGGCATTGAGCAAACTAAAAAAAAAATAAAACAAAACAAAATGCCACATGCAAAGATGTCTCATTACAATTTAACCATTGTCATAGCAACTAGTTTGCAGTGTCAACAACTGACAGAAGAGCTTTATCACTTTAAATAAGCCAAATAATAAAAATAATTCTATGATTTCTAGATATGATGAATTCAAATACAAAAATTGTTTCATGTTTTTACAGAATTAGTTCAACTGGCTCTTTAAATTATTAAAGAGGCGATTTATACATTATTATATGATAGAGAAATTCAGTAAACTGTAATATAGTTATATTCTTTGAATATATTGCTGTTGAATATAAATTATTCGGTGTAGCTTGAGTGTTACAGCTTCTGGAATTAAAAGAAAGTGAAAAGTAAATGTTAAACAGCTTGTTGCAACACTTCAGAACATGACTACACAGGATTTTGCAGTGAGGAGAATTAGGCTGCTTTGCCTGCATGAATCATAATCAGGTCAGAAATCTACATTAGATATAAATAAAGATAACCTTGGAAAAATGCCAAAAAAAGTATTCCAATTGGGCTTGGAAGTGGACTAAACTCCAGGATTAACCACACAACATCAGAAGGGAAAGTAATCAGAGGCTGCAAAAGCATGTGGTGGAGGTTTACTTTAGAGTATAACAACACTCTTAAACATGCAGTAAATGCAACAGTGCAAATGTTAAGTTCAAAGCACATCCATGTGTTAGCCTTGCCTTGTAGAAGTACAAGCCAAAATACATTATAATCACCTTTAAAATGATTGCCATAACAAATTTTTCCTCTGCGTTTAACCCATTCCTTAGAGAGGAGGAAGTCACTTTTTGCAGCAAGTGGGAAACATTCTGGGGCTTAGGGTCTTGCTCAGGGGTCCATAACCTCAAAGACTGTAGTTGCAGTCTGTAATTCAAACTGGGGATCAGTTCAAAAGTGTTGCTCTCTCTATTTTATGTGTGTTTTTACCCAAATTACTTTGATCCTCCAAAGAACAGTCTTTGACAGTTCTTAGTCAGTTCTTAGTCTATAAATCTACATTTTCTTACATCCTCTCTTTATATATTCAGCTTCCCAGTGGATAGTTTGTTCTAGATGTTAAGGGAAGACTGTTTCAGAGGAGATAAAATGCTGTTTTACTGCAGGCTTGACCCTTCGATTCTGCAACCGATCAGAGATGACAGCATGGCAACCTTTGGTTCTCTATTCCTCCCTATAAAGATATTTCCATAACCTGACAAAAAGAGCAGCCATCTGAAGTTGCCGTCCTTTGTGATCTGTCACAAGCGCAATGGAAGCTGTCAGGGGAAAGGGAGGATATGGGTGCTGATGTGCTCTCTGAAGTAAAACTCAGCCTTTCATGTTGAGGCAGAAGAACCAAAGAGCTGTCTCCTCTCCGTGTGTCTGCCTGCCAAGAGGCAGCTAGCAAAGTGTAAGTGTAAAAATGTGAGTACGCCTTGCTAATCCACCACACTCTCATAGGTCACTCTCATTTATAATAAATGGGTAGTTCGCAGAGCTCTTTGATATCGTGAAACAATTAGGAACTCGCTCTGAGTCAGTATGTACGGGGACCAATAAAAACCCTTTTAATGTAGTGCAAACTTTAGGTCATCATTTGATACCTTATAAATTTCACTGTGGGCTGCATCAGCCCAAGGCCAAGGGTTTTGTATAATTGTATTATTATTCCCAAAACTAAGCCAGATGCTTTTAGTTAAAGAATGAAAATAATGCCCAGCCACTAACAACACAACAAAAATCCATATAAAAGATCATATATATAAATCCTTCATATAAGGATTTTTAACCATAACGGACATAAATCACATAATAATTAAGAAACCCAAGAAATGGGGAATCTCAATTTTCAAAAAGGAGATCATGCCCCTTTAAAATTGATACTTTGGCATCAACCCTATCAGATGCTGTCCTAATGTTTTAAGGAAAATTCATCTAATTTCCAATACAGTGACAAGGGCAGGTCAAAAGTCTTTATTTTCATGCACAGATGGGATTAAATGGTCAGATTAAAAATTAATGTCTGTCCAGTGGACAAAGTTGTGTCTACTGGACAGAACTTAAATTTTGGACAGAACTTAACAGAACTTCACAGAATTGTCTTATACTTTTGTGTACAATCCCCTCAATGAAGACTTTATTAAGTGCTTTTTGTCTCAAATTTTAATTTTTTGAGTACAGGGTTGCCCTGGATCGCTCTTAGCCTTATTCATTCCATCAACTCTAACCATTCTCTCTCAACCTGCTGAAACAAAAATCATGAAAGAATGATATTGCAATCTGCATGTTTTATCATGGGGCTGTTATCTTTCCTGAAGACCTTGTCTTTTGCAAGAAGGCCTCATCTGATAAGAGCATCGTTTAAATGTATTTACTTTTTTGTTAAATTGTTTTTGGCAAAAGTAAGTGGTTTTACTCAACGCTTTCTTTCAACAACTGCTTTATTATAGGCTCTTACCCTCTCCCATCTGAGCAGTGGATATCTGTAACTCTTTAAAAAGTTAAGATGAACCTCTCTGTTCTATCTGTGATTAAAGCTAACCCACCCACGCTATTAGAGTTAGGTGACATGCCATATCTATGTGGATTTTGTACAGTATTATGCATACTTGTTCTTTTTCAGATAACGGAAGAAACACACTCCGTGGGATAATCAGGGCTTAAGTTAAAACTGCATAACCTAACAAAGCCTTAGCTTCTTCACACATTTATGTCAGATCTATCTGCTGTGTTTCATGGTCTTCATCAGTCTGTTTGTTTATTATGTTCTGCATAAGTTTGAAAAATATACATCTCAAGATTTAAGTAAATATACTTAATTTCTTATAAGACTCAAAAGCCATTTTCAATAAACAAAACCATGTCACACTCCTTCTGTTTTAATAAGTTGGGCACAAATATTTTTCTGATTCAGTGTATATCATCCTGAAACAGATATTTGGGGTGTTTTCCTCAATTATCATGCAATGCAGTGGCATTACCTGTGTAGCCCAACGAGTTGTCGTCTTCATTTTCCGGGGCAGGAGCTGCTGTTGCCCCTTCTCTGGCACCATCCTGAGTGACTCCAGTCTCTGTCAACAATAACACCATAGCATCTGAAAAACTGGATGCATTCTGCCCACTTTCCATTCCAATGGTCCAATCTTCCAGCCCTGTGTTTCCATCAAGGCAAACAGCAAACATGCTCAGAAGTACCAGGCTCCACCTTTGCAAGCAAGATCTCTGATTTCCAAATACGCACATCTCCACAAAGAAGCCAGAGATCTACAACCCATAAAGTTTTGAAAAAAAAAAAAGAGGCTAGTTTTAATCAGTTTATGCATTAGTTTAATGCATTAATGTAATAATTTCTCTGGGCTCAGCGTGAGGTTGTCCTGTGAGGATCCTGAGTGGGACACTGAGTGTAAAACAGTCATCTCATCCATATCAATAGCCAGAAGTGGCTGCACCCCAAAGAAGCATGTACTCAGAACGGGGAGGGGGGGGGACCTATCAGAGGACACTCCACATGATTGACAATGCCAGTCTTTTTAGAGGGACACTCTGCACACACTCATGATGCAAATATACTGACATAGCGTTAATTGCTAATCTGTTCCTTTTTATTCAGGCTTTATCTCTGTACCGGTGTTGCTTTCAGATTGACAGGTTGAGTGTGGGAGACAGGCGGCGTGAGGGCGGGACAGTTGGGGGGGAGAAGGAATAAAGAAAAGGCCACACGGGTCTGGGCGTGTGCAGCTCATCATGAAAACAGGAGAGCAACTGTGCCCTTATGATGGCTCTGTGTGAAATAAATCAGACTGAGCCATGCCCACTCCCATTGTGTCCTGCTGACAGCGGGTTAATATGGGGTTGGGTGGTTAGGGCGGGAGATAAGAAGAATCTTAATCATCTAGCCCTTTTAGTTGAGTGACTGGCAGTCTCTAGGAAGTATCTGCTTTGTAAATGAGATCTGGCTTCATTTTGGATGAAACGCAGAAGGCCAGACAGAATTGTTCATTGGAGAGTACTTTGGATTACTAAAGTGTGAAAAGGAAGGTGGAAGGTGACAAGTCATTTTATTGGCTCCTGCCACCATTAGGAAATTAACAGTAAGAGCAAAGCAGGATTTTTTAAACACAAAGACAGATTTAAAACATTAAAAGGGTATGGCACAAAAAATAAAATAAAAAAGAATCACCTATGTTGTGATTATTCAGTCAATGTGCCTGGAGTGCTACAATTAAACTCACATTAGAATGGCTTCATGCTGAGAAAAACCTATTATCTAGCTTTTCTCAGTTAATCTGTTTACCCACAAAACAGCATCTGACTGGCAACACTTAGGAGATTAAGGACGGAAAATCACATAAATGTTTGCATGCAGGTTAAAGGACTAGTTCAGATTATTTTCAGGAAATGTTTAGCATTTCTTTTATTACTACACAAAATAATTTGGTATGTATCCAAAACAGTTGGCACCGAAGCCTGAAGCTAAATTATGAGCAAGGGGCCAAGATCAAATTAAACAAACAAATAAAAACAAAATGGCAAAAAAGGATTTAATGTGAATGCCATTTATGAATATTTAAATCAAAATTCTGTTTGCATTGGACAAATCTGTATGAATATTTAGAAGATTAGAAGGTTCTGCAGGCTAAAAATGCCTGCTGCCAGAGAGGGACCAAAAGCAAAGTAAACTTCGGATATCCTGCAACAACTTGAGTTTTATAATTACTGCAGGAATTAAAACTTAAGCTATTTAAAGAACCTTTTAACAACACACTGTGCTATGCATTTTTTCAGTGCATAATTTACCATGATGCAGCAGCGCTTTTCTGCTAGCATAACAACAAGCTGGCAACCCAAACGGAGCAATGTTGCAATGAAAATTAAGAATGTAATCGAGAGTTCATCTTATATCTTCAGATTTCTTAGGTAAAGCTAGCAAAAATCGTTGACTGGAAAGTTTTTTTGACCATTTGACATCTTTCACCGACTACAAAATTACAAATTCAGAACGCAACGCTTTGGGTTTTTGCGTCACATACATAGTTAATTGATTTGTAGTTATCTATCAATCCATAGTTATCTACCAGCTCTTTATCAGTCTGGCTGACCAGGCTAACTTGTTCAAAAATAAGTTTAATGCAAAAATTACAACTCATGCTTACAAGCATATTTAAATGTTTCCCTGGCTTTAACTGGATCAAATTGATAGTTATTACCAGGGATTTGCAGAACATCATAAAAAGTGATTCATCCAACTCATACAGCTGTGTTGGAGCCGGGACCCATTTAAAAGATGTAGTCACCCTTCCCCATAGACTGGTAGTCTTGGTTGGAATATACTTTGTATTATCATTTACATAAATCCTGATTGGACATAAATAGTTCTAAATCAATTGTCTGGTTCGGCGGTTTAATTCAATGACTTGACTATAAAAGTGCATAAACAAAGTCTGGGTAGGTTTTGGTCACTCTTCAGCTGGCAACCTTGATATTATATCAGAACCCAATTTCTGAATTATCCCTTTAACCAGTTTCTGACATGGATGAAATGTGATGGTGCACACATGAGATGAAACCATGCCTGACATCTTTATCACAGACATACACATCAGCAATGAGGTACCGTTTCTGACACCGAAGGACTCACAAGAAGAACTTAGATATTAATATATGCTTTGTCTTTTATTGAGAAAAAAAATAATATTTTAACCCTGAAAACGGTCATCATCGATACAACTGACTTCTAATGAAAATAGAAAGAGCACAATAAAAACACATTTTTTTCAGAAAAGATCAAGAATCTACAGTCAAAAAAGTGTCTAAAAGCCATTTATGTAGTTGCTTTAAATGTCACTTTGCTTTTCTTTTTGTTCACTTTTGTCATCAGTCTGAAATCATGAGCTTTATAAAATGTGATGCATTTTTTTAACTGAGGACATTTTTCAACATGTTTGTATCTTTTTCTAGTTTTCTTATATATTGTTTTCCTGTTTTTCTGTAGTATATCTCCTTATTCCATATGTTTTTGTGTTAAACTACTATTTTCTATCTTACAGATTTGCATAGGTAAGGGTAATATTTGCAATGTATTATAATATTTATTTTATCATTTATATAAGATGCACACAAACATAATCAGCTTTACACTGTTTTTATGTGGACAGTTTTTGATTTCCTTGGTGGCCTGCAGTCAGAGGTCCAATTAGACCACTGTAGAGTATATTCACAGGTGGTGTACCCAGCTGCCCCGGTGGCATAAGGACAACAAGGACCACAATGTTACCTCAATATTTCCTTTCTAGCCTCAAGAACTCACCCAACACCAGGGGCCCCTGCTGGCTAATTAGAGTGACACATTTGCGAATAATGGAATACTTAATAAGAGATACAAAAGCAGACTTGGCCCTATTCGTCTTTCTCCTGCCCCCCTGAGTCCTTTTTAAACACGACAGTGTCATTTTTCCCCAATCATGAGCCTTTTTTCATAGACAAGTTCACAGTGCACTCTGCAGGCTTTGTGTTCTATTTTTATACTCTACAATAGTTTCCAGTCGCAAATGGCCATTTGGAGAAACTGAAACTAAATCAAGAAATACAGGTACACTTTATATAAAAACAAAAAGGCAACAAAAGCAGAATTACTGCTCATTTAGTCAGTAACATTTAGGATATGAATGAAAAATATGAAGATGTCTGTGTTCCTTCATTGTAATCATGTTAATAACTGCAACACCCGGCCCAGGCAGCCCATAAAAGAGATGGATGAGTCTGAAAAGATGATGGGGGGGGATACATCAACTAACCAATGTATTTGCTGAAGGACAGAAGTTGTTTCATACATCCGGATCAAGAGGCCGAGGCCTTGAATGGGTTAAGAAAACCACAGAGATTAATCATATATATAAAATATATATATATAATATATAACATAAAATATTCTTCTTTAACATCAGTTTACTACGTTATGTCAAGAGCAAAACAACTAACATAAATGCTTTAAAGATTTCACAATGTAAAACCTTTAATTTGCCATTTCATATTTATGTGAAAACTCTAATGTTTAGTCTAAGCTTTGGTGTAAAGTTCAGTCTAAGGTTTACTCAGAGAAAATTATTTTGCTTAATATGATTTTTAACATGGCCTAAGACCTTGTTAAAGTCCAAGTATAATATTGAAACCAATGCTGGAATTAATATTGAACAATACTTGTGTCAAAAGATCAATGTTTTATTTTTTCTCCTCCATGCGCTTAATGCAGCACATTCACCAAATTTTCCCCATTTGCGCCACAGCATTTTCCTGCTCCCCCAATCGCACCATCATGTGGTTCAGGGGCATCAGCTAAAAAAAAAGTGTTTGTTGAGGTGTGCTAATTTTGTTTTATTGCCTTAAGATTTCATTTAAAATAGTTAATGCCCCATTCTTCAATTGTAATTATAGAGATAAAATTACAAAAACATAAAAACATCAAGTTTCATGATACATCAAGCTTAAAGGTAAAGTGGAGGATTTTTGCGAATTTTTGAAAAGACCCACCCTCTCCACTTAAAAAAAAAATGCACATGCACAACCCTGTACACGCTCCCGAGAGGGAACACCTATTAAACACATATGAGAACATGCACAAACCCATTTCTCCTCGTGCACGCTCTGTTTAAAAGTTGCTGTTTGCGTCGCTCATACAAGCTTACGTTCCAAAAGAAGATTTGAAATTTCTCCACTATGTCAGACTCACTTATGTCAGTAAGTGAAATTGGGGACGAGCATGTAGGACGGCCTTAAGTAAAAATATCACCAGAATGATTGACCATTAGAATGACCAATTATTTAGATGATCCACCCGGAAAAAGAACTAGCCTGACGTAGTCCTACTCAATTCTAGTCAGAATATGAGTCTGATGCTGCTCCATAGAGCTGTGATTATGGGGCGTGTTTTGAACGAACCAGGAAAAAAAAATGCCTCTGCACTCAATTGGATAGACCTACAACCAATAAGAGCAACGGAGTGCGTGACATATGTTAAGCGATGCATAGTTGTTGTCAACAAAAATCAAAGCGTGCAGTTGCACGCCTATAATAA